GGGACAATGTTAAAATTTTGGATGAAGAGCTTTGCTATAGGAAACGCTTAATTTCTGAGATGCAATATTAAAAAGCAGAAAAATAATTTAAAATTGCAAACTAACACTGAAGGTCTTCACAAGGCATATACATATACATATCTATTGTAAATAAGGTTTGACTTTTCGATACTGGCAATCCGTTTCTTCTTTCAGTCCATGTTGATCCGTATCAGTGAGCGTACATTATAATCGTTATACAATATCCGTCTTACACATTTGCGTTTCACTTAAATTTATATATTCTAATGGTTTTTTTTATACTTATATGGACACACCTATTTGAATAATTTACATAATTTTTGATGAGTTTTTATTTCTTATTAAAATTTCGGTAGGTTAATTTATTTACGTTTACTTCTTTTCGTAAGAAGTCTTTTTATCTTTTTTATCAACTAGAACTTTTCCAAGAGATATGAAATACATTTGACTGTTCAATCGTACGTGAATAATATCGAGTTCTACATTAAGACTCACCCGAACTGTGAATATAATGAATATGCAAACATTGCGATAATTAATTTTGTACTGCGATTTTTTCGATAAGTTAATGTCTGAAGAGGGCTTAATTCGTAGCCGAAACTCGTTATTTATTTGTATTTAAACTGAGTTCTTATTATTTTTTATTTTTTATTATATACTTTTCTCTATTTGCAATTTATTCTTTTAATTGTGTGACTTTTTAAAGAAATGTGTTGACTCTTACTTTGCCCTTTATCTAGTGTTATTTATTTTGATGAATTTATTTGAGGAAAAAATTGCGCGCCTTCTTATCGTATATAATTCTAAACCGCTGAATAGAGGCAGGGAAAAAGGAGACTGAAAGTAATTTAAAAAATTCAGTAATATATTTAAGTATCATATACATTTTCTCTTTATAAAACATTAATTTATTTCTAACTTTAAATGCAACGTAGTGTATATAATTTCAGCGCATATTACTAATTCACTCCGTGATTGAAGTTTCATCATAAACATCACGCAATCTTTAATGTATATTTATTGTTAATATAATTTTGGTGTGTAGTAGTCACAAATTATTAATATATATTCTCTCGCACGCAATTTTATTAAAAAGATATGGTATTTATTTTACGAGCTTTTATGATGCGATTTTACAATACAATGATACAAGCACAATTTTAATGATATAAGTCGATCTCTCTCTCTCTCTCTCTCTCTCTCTCTCTCTCTCTCTCTCTCTAATAATTAGTGTAATTTGTTCTTAATATAAATAGCTTTAAATATGATACTATACAGCGATTTTAATCATACCAAGCCGCATTCTGGGAGATCCAGCCGTTTTCGAGATATAAGAAAGAAAGAAGAGCTTTCAGAAAGACAGCGATACAGCACAAAGTGTATCCGACTATTCGGTTACGCGCATTGTGCTGCACTAGTGTTTTTCAAGAATTCCAAGTGTGTAACGTCCTGGGTGTGTATCTTTTCTAGCGAAAATGTCAGCCAGATATCACTGCGGCAATCGTCGAAGGCGCGATACTGTCGGGTGACATCCGCTCCGTCGGAAATATCCGAACATGCACGAATTCCATCGAATCCCGTTTTCTCCCGCTCGAATTGTTAACCGGCGGAAATCGCCGAACGATATAATAATCCTGCCTCATGCTACGTGAAAGACGTTCATCGAGAGACGTGCAGATATTGAGCGATTAATGCAATCAACTGTCCCATTATCATCATCATCGCCGATTCAAGATCTGAATGTAGAACTTGTTAAAATATGTGATACGGAAAACGTAACATTATCATTGTATGATACATGCTTGTACATGAAATCAACAACCGTACTCTTCTTATTTGAACAATGTGTCGAGCACGCGTACTATAAAGTATGCGCACTAAGTCAATGTACGATGTTAGTGAAAAATTTAAATATTTTGTATCATTTTTAAGACAAAATTGTATTACTAATAAACGCGATGCTGCAAACACTTCGCACAAAATTTATGATAAAAATTCTATTATAGAATGTGAACTAGTGATCTATGGTTTAAATTATATTGTACATGCTGCAGTTACGGCCAGACTCCACAGTTCTTTTCTTCAATTAGAATTTTCGTCATCACCATAAAAGTTATTAACAAGTAATACCGGTAAACCTGTTTCTACTATAAGAAGTTACAATAGTGACGAGCCGAATAACATTCGCTTTTTTAGATTAATAATCCACTCGGGACGAAGTTGTTGGATTAAATATTTGAACCAAGTGTCGAATAGATGAACTTTATCCCGAGGAACAAAAGAAGTAAATAGATTAAGAATTACAAACTGAAACAGCAGTCGTTTGTAATAAATGACACATGTGACTTTACGGCAAATGGTCAATGACGGAAGTTATAATATTTTAGACACATATCCCAGTATCTTATTTCACAATCGATTCCCTTAATCCTAATCCTAGATTAGACCAGTAACATAGGTGCGGCACTACTAACTCGCGAATATAAAAAGGAGACCCTTCGCGAACACTCGTCAAAACTCAGCTACAAAACGTAACTCTGCCAGTCCGCAACCAGATCGCTCCACCGATTTTAGTGGTGAACCGCGATTAGTTCGATCAAGCGATCATATTCGCTTATTACTGTCAAGTGACTCGACCGAAGCCTCCAAATCACTGGGTCAACTCGCCACCACCGGCTTCACCGAATCTACCTGCTAACCGAGACGCGTTAGAGGTGATACCTTCTTTTTCTTTTTCACCTCCCCCTCGAACTCTTTCACCTCCTCCTCGATCTCTGTCGCCCGCGTTTTCAAACGTTCTGACGAAGTGAATTTACTCCTCCGCTAACATCTGATTCATCTGTCATCGCAATCCCGTTTTCCCCCAAAAGAACTCCGTCTCCGACGAATTCCACGGAGCCACCAGAGTGGAGTTCCTAGAACAAATTGTTTCTCCACCATCGAGATCCTATTTCTGCATTCAGGAGAGTGACTCATTTGAGTCACTTGTTAAACAATTCCCGCGGACTATCGAACCTATTCCCGAGGGGACTTTTCCGATCGGGTCCCATTATTTCGATCCATAAGAAATCCGGCATGGAATTATCGGTTAATTACCTCGTTCCTGTTATTTTTTATTCTGAATTCCGCCTATCCATATTTAGTTCCGGTGGAATTCTTCTTCAATCTTTTTCCTTTTTCCTCCGTTACTATACACGAAATAGAATAAACAAAAATTTGTCTGCTCTGCTCGCCCTAAATTTTATTCTCTGGCGATTATATAATATGTAAATAGTTGATAATAACTATCTTGTCAATTTGTAAATTTTCCTTTCTTTTTATTGTAATAATCACATTAATTAATGTGTAAATTAATTCATAAAAATAAATTTATTAATGTATAACATTTTTCTTTATTTTATGTAATGGTACTGTATTAAACTTGTAATCAGTTAATGATAGATTGATAATGATTAGTAATTATAAATAATGTTAATAATTTTACATTTTTCTCGTTCTTTAAATTTAAAACCTTAAGACTTCGTAATCATTAACTTTATCTTTTCAAAAATTGCACGGGGTCCACTCCTGAATTAAAAGGATTAGATTCCTTGACTCGAAATTCGGACTGATCGCATCGCATGTAGGAAACAGGTGTCACAGCGTCTTTGCAGGACGTTGACCAATATTCCGAAGCTAATATAGAGCACAAAGGGATGCGTTCGATTCGCGGTACTTGCCAATGTGCGGATACCTGCGAGACAAGAGTTTGACCGTCCTATCCTCACCAATTCCGCTCCTCTTTTCTCCAATAGGATCATAAATTTCAAATTTCCAAGGGTTTGGACGTAACACTACATTAAATATTAGATAAATAAATCTATATTAAAAAATATATATATGCCTTTGAAAATTTATCTTTTCCCTAATTTTTTCATCATTTCTTCTTCATATCTTTGTGATAATAAATTATTTAATAAGAAAACCAGCTGATCGACTTATATCATTAAAATATTATTAAAATTGTGCTCGTATCATTCTATTGTAAAATTGCATCATAAAAGTCATAAAATAAATACCATATTTTTTTAAATAAAATCGCATGCGAGAAAATATATATCAACAATTTGTGATTACTATACGCCAAAATTGTATTAACAATAAATGTGATGCATTAAAAGATTGCGTGGAGTTTTGATGAAACTTTAATTGTGGAGTGTGAATTAATAATGTGCGCTTCAGATGAAATTGTATACAATACGTTACATTTAAAGTAAGAAATAAATTAATGTTTTATAAAAAATGTATAATATGATACTTAAATATATTACTGAATGTTTAAAATTATGAACGCAAAATTCAAAAGGCATCGATAAAGTCGCACTAATGCGGGATACTTGGGCGTTCCGATATTTGCCTGATCCGTGATGAAATACCTGCGTAGATCACTACTACGACTAATCGCGATTATTAAGAACGAAAGGTGGATGAATGAATGTCCGATTATATCAATCTAGTACACTTTATTTACTTCATTCGTTCTACAAGCCACGCACTACAAACTGACTACCGTAATGCGGTAGAACTCGCTCGAGAGAAGCGTACACGCTCCTTCGATAGTGGCAGCTAGACTGGTTCACGCATCCACGAAAACGAAAAACGGAGTCGAGCCCGATCACGAGGCGTTATGGGAGCAATCACGCGGTCTCCTAATGGCGAAACGCAAATATATATACGAGGGAAGACTATTATTGAATACACATATATGCTGCGACAACGGTATTTCGAATACAATTACAATCTGCGTGGCCAATCAAAGCTAATATTTTCGAAATCCAAACATTCCGCTCGCCTCGCTTTCATTTAAAGCGAAATATCCTTATACATCTACTTGTACAAATAGTTTATATTAATTATGACATAAGCGAAGCTAAAAACATAATAATAAGGCATTTGCCGCCCGCCATGCAAAAGACGCGTACATTGAAAATTAACACGAGTTAACGCTTAATGTTAGTTATCGAGATAGTCCCGCCCGCCGTGGGACTATCGTCCATCGCATTAACCGGAAGAGGACACAATTTATGGATGGACCGCAAAAACGACGAGGATGCGCTCTTTATTTCGCAGACGCGTACTAATCCGTCATTACCAGGAATGCATTTGGTAATTCTACCTAATGCCCAACGCGACGGCGGTAAGTTGTCATTCTTAATAAGGACGAGGTCTCCGACCCTAAAATTCGGATGGGCTAATCGCCATTTAGAACGTTTTTGTAGAGTGTTTATATAATCTAATTGCCACACTTTCCAGAAGCGATCTCGCATGCGTTGGACGAGATGATAACGCTTCAGACTAGTAGAAATAGCCGAAGGAATATAAGGTTCAGGCAATGATAGAAGTGGAGCACCGACTAAAAAATGACCCGGGGTCAAATAACTCAAATCATCACAGTCGCTTGAGAAACCGGCGATAGGACGCGAGTTAACGCATGCCTCGATTTGACATAATAATGTTTCTAATTCCGAAATCGTTAGCGTGTGAGTTCCTACGATGCGACGAAGATGGTACTTTATGGATTTTACTCCGGCCTCCCACATTCCTCCAAAATGGGGCGAAGAGGGCGGAATAAAGCGCCATTCAATTTCATACTCCAACATCTTAGCTTCCACAGCCGGATTTCGTAGAGCAGAACGAAATTTTTTAGCTAATTCGGCTTGACCCCCTTGGAAATTGGTGCCATTATCGCTTAAAAGCTGGGCAGGAACCCCACGCCGTGAGATGAAGCGACGAAAAGCATCGAGAAATGCGTTAGTCGTAAGGTCATGTACCAACTCTATATGTATTGCACGTGTAGTCATACAAACGAAGACTGCGATATACATTTTCCTCGAGTGATGTCCTCTACCAGGCAGTGCCCTGGCAAATAGAGGCCCAGCGTAATCGATGCCCACACTGAAAAATGGACGCTCACAACGAAACCGTATGGAGGGAAGGGGTGCCATCTGTTGTTGACCTAAATTCGCTCTATATCTCGTGCAAATCACACAATTATTAATAACCGAACGTATAATTAACTTGGACCGAATAATCCACGACTCTTCACGTAAAATGCGCGCGGTTAATGCATTGTTGCCGTGCAAAGAGCGAAGGTGAGCGTGCCGAACCAGGAGAATCACTAATGGACAATTAGCCAAGATGATCGGAAATTTTTGTTTAAAATTCAGTGGAGAATGCTGCAATCGTCCTTGCATGCGAATAATCCCTTCCTTATCCAAATAGGGATTCATAGTTGCCAAAACACTAGAGCGGGGAAGCTTTTCACCCCTTTTTAGAAGCTCCAGTTCCTTTTCAAAGGTCTGAGATTGCATATATTTAATCCAAAGGTTCTTGGCATGCTTTTTCCAAGTAAGGGGACTGATCTCTTTGCCGTCTTGTCGGCGAAGTCGAGAAATAAATCGTAAAACTAAGCTTGTAACTCGAATTAGTTTACCCCAATCAGAAAACCGAGAAGCGAACTCCCAATCCTGACTACAAGTTACGTGTACGCTCTTTTTGCAATTTTCCAATTCAATAAGTTCCTCATTTCCGGATGGTTCCAGAGATGGCCAGTCTCCCGAGACGAGCCAGGGAGGGCCATGCCACCAAAGAGTATTATTTATCAAATCGGAAGCGCGTAGCCCACGGGAAGCTAGATCCGCTGGATTATCTTCGGACGGAACATGGCGCCACTGAACTGTAGGACATCGACTTTGAATGGCCGATACTGTATTTGCCACAAAAGTTTTCCAATTTGATGGAGGGCTTCGGATCCACGCAAGGGCTACGGTGGAGTCTGACCAGGCATACATCGGAATATCACAATTCAAGTGTAGAGCGGAAGCAACCCACTTTAATAGTCGTGATAATAATTCAGCCGCGTTTAGTTCGAGCCGCGGAATGGACAAAATTTTAAGTGGAGCCACCTTGGTTTTGCTGGTGAGAAGAAATGTTTCGGTTGTTCCCTCTCGAACCACTCGCAAGTAGATCACTCCAGCATAGGCCTTCTTTGAGGCATCGGCAAAACCGTGAAGCTCGACGTGACATGTAACGGTGCAGATCTGGAGCCAGCGGGGCAAATGAGCTTGCGCTAAATTTTGCAAATCCTCACAGAATGAGAGACAATCATGGAAGATTGGATCAGGCAACTTACTATCCCAAGCAATTGATAGTGTCCAAATTTGTTGCATTAATATTTTACCTGCAACAATGACCGGAGCTAACCACCCTAAGGGATCATAGCATTTTGCAAGAAATGATAAAAAGGTTCTTTTATTAAGACACTGAGGAATTTCAGGATCAACGCGAAAGGCAAAAACATCACGGGCGGGATCCCAATAAATTCCTAGAACCTTTACATAGGAGTCCTCTTGAAGTGCTATGTTTTGAGAATTCTCAATTAAACTACTCGGTAAATCTGCCAATAACTCAGGAGCATTGGAGGTCCACTTATGCAAAGAAAAGGCTCCACGACTAAATAAGGAAATGAGCTGATTTCTTAGTTCCCGGCAACCGTTAATCGATGAACATCCGAAAAAGGTGTCATCCATAAAGGTATTCTCGATGACAATGGCACTCGCCAATGGATAGTTAGCCTTTTCGTCATCCGCAAGCTGAATTAAGGTCCGCTGAGCTAGGTAAGGAGCAGAGGTGGTTCCATATGTTACTGTTAGCAACCGATAAGATGTCACTTCATGGGTCGAGGGAGATCGATGCAAGACTAATTGAAATTTAGTATCTTCCTCTCGTATTCGAATTTGCCGAAACATCTTTGTAATATCGGCGGAGCAGACAAATTTATGTTGACGCCAACGTAATATAATGGCCGGTAAATCCTGCTGTAATTTAGGGCCCACAAGGAGGGTAGAGTTCAGAGACTTACCAATATCCGTTCTAGCCGACGCGTTAAATACGACTCGTACCTTTGTAGACGAGCTCGACGGTTTTATAACGGGATGATGAGGTATATAATAAACTTCCTCACCCTGCGAAGAGGGGGCATACGGACACATATGACCGAGTTGCTCATATTCGTTTAAAAAATTAGAATACTCGGCTTTTAACTCCGGATCGCGATCCAGCCGGCGCTCCATTCTGATGAACAGGGCTTGTGCCACTTTTAAGGAATTTCCAAGATTCAGAGGAGGAGGGGTTTTAAAAGGTAACGCGACCGTAAACCTTCCGTCTTGATCACGGGTCGTGGTTTCGACAAACAACCTTTCGCAATAATTTTCCTCCTCCGTTAAATGCGTTTGATGGGGAATTTCTTCCACTTCCCAAAAGCGTTCTACAGCTCGAATTAAATCATTATTAAAGGTGACGTGTAACGACGTCACGGAAACGTGATGACTAGCGGCTGCGTCCTCTATAGGACCCCGTAATAACCATCCAAATACCGAACGGATAGCTGAAGGTCCACCCGGGAACTTAAATCGATCAGCGTAAACTAGTTTATCATAACAATCAACACCAAGTATTAAGTCAATTGGATGATTACCACATGGGTCAGGATCGGCTAACTGCAATTGCCTTAGATGTGGCCAATGACTCGACTTTACATACCTACGTGGTGCATAACTAGATAGTTTTGGTAAAATTAATACCTCTACAAATATAGGATCACCCGTATAATCTTGCGGTAACACCTGAATTCGAGCTGCATGTTTGACCACTCCGGAGACAGTGGCGCCGATCCCGGAAATCGACGTCGAACATTCGGATCGAGGTACCCGCAATAGTTGGGAGCCCCTTTCGGAAAGTAACGAACACTCCGATCCCGAATCAATTATGGCTCGTAAACATTGTTCGTTTCCCGCAGTTGTGCGCACTCGCACCCACGCAGTAGCAATTAGAGCGGCTCTATTTAATTGAGAATTCAAGCAACCCGAATGCGCGGTAGA